CTAGATGGCCGCTTGTTTACCTTCAAGCCTTTAAGACCCCAGACGCTATACCTTTTCATAGCCAGGTACCATCAGCTTTCTTTGCCACACCAAATGAGGACTTTCTAATGTGTCTTGTTGGAGCTCCCTCCTCTTAGCATGAAATATCTTTGACAAATCCCATAGTTTCACAGACATGTTCATTTGTATTAACAGGCTCATTTCCTTGATGGAAATGCACTTTCAGCCAAGAAGAAGTTAAAGCTAGAGTGAAAAATGTACTCACACCATACCAAAAAAAATGTACTTACACCATACATAAAATCTTAAATCGTGTAGATTTTAGCTCTAGTCTGAAAACAATAAAGCTTCTAGAACAAATTTGGAAAATTAAATGATTTCCTAAGTAGGATTAAAAAATTAAAAAGATACTGCACACAAGGAAAAAGTGATAATATCCAACTTGTTTATATTCATCAAAAGATACAGTAATAGTGGGGAAAGGTAGCCATAGCATTCACAGAAGAATGCCGCTACTCATAGACAAAAAGTGTTATGTCAATAACATAAAAATTCTTGCAACTAGATAAGAAATAAATAATCCAATAAAAATGGTCGAGGACATTGAACAAGAATTTTACAAAATTTTACTACAGTACGCCCTAAAATACTAGTACACATCTATTGGACTAGCTAAATGGAAAAGAGTAACGGTGTGGAGCACAAGTAACGGTGTAGAGCAACTAAACGCAGACTGCTACAGGGGGTATCAATTGGGGCAATTACGTTGGAAACTCGTTTGGCAATATATTCTAAAGTTGGACATTTGTGTCTTCTAATTATACGAAGTGCTCTTTTATAGGTTGTTGCCACTGAGGCGATTCCGACTTATGGCCGCTCCAGAGTAGACGTTCTTCCCAGGGCTTTCTGGGCTGTAATCTTCATGAAGCTGATCACCTGGCCCTTCTGTCATGACACCACCGCCTGGATTCAACCAGCAGTCAAGACAAAACTATATATGTTTGCCACTAAAGGGCCTAAAGCATATTTAACTAAAATATGTAGGTGGTATCTACATCTGCATTACAATGTGTACAGGAATGTAGATAGAATTATTAGAGTAATAACTCTTAAAGGAGAAAAAAAAGTCCAAAGTCCAAATATGTAGACATATTTCATTGGGTGAATCTGCTGCACAATACCTCAATACAAGTAACGAAAAATGAGGATATTACTTTGAGGACTAAGGTACACCTAACACAAGCCTTAGTGTTTTCAGTTGCCTCATATGGATATGGAAGTTGGATGCTGAATAAAGAAGACTGAAGAAACATTGACACATTTGAACTAGGTGAGCCATATTAAAAGCACCATGGACTCCCAAAGAACAAGCTTCCATCTTGGAAGAAGTACAACCGGAATGCTCCTTAGAGGCAAGGATGCTGAGACTTCCTCTCATGCACTTACTTGGACATGTTAACAATCCCCAGAGAAGGACATCATGCCTAGTAAAGTGCAGAGGAAGCTAAGAGAGTTAGGCGCTCCATGATATGAACTGACAAGATGAAGTAACTCCGTGGCTGTGACAGTGAGCTCAAACACATAACAATTGTGAGGATGATGCAGGACTGGGTGGTGTTGCATTCTGTTGTGCATAGGGTCGCCATGAAGCTGAACCCACACTCACCTAGCAACAATAGTTAGATAATGAGTTGTTATACCTACTGTCATCAAGTTAATTCTGACTCATAGAGTCGCTACAGTACAGGATAGAACTGACCCAGTGGGTAACTCTTTATGAGAGTATAGAGCCCAATCTTCTCCCTTGGAGCAGCTGGTGGTTGCAAACTGGTGACCTCGTGGGTGGCAGCCCGATGCACAGCTACTACACCACCAAGGCTCCCAGATCAGTTACGACAGAGCTAAGAAAATTAATGAAGTGTTGCTATGTACAACAGCATGCACGAGTCTCACAGATTACAGTAAGTTAAAAAAAACAACAACAGATGCATAAAGGTATATGTTACATTATTTTCTTTATATATAGGAAATTTTGACCATGTGTTAGAAACAGGTGATTGACTTCCTTCTGTTGGGAGAAGCAAGTAGAATGTAGAGACTCTGTATCCTATAAATATAATATTTCCTGACCTGAGGGGTGGTTACATAGATGCAATCATTTTGTGACATTTCATAAAAGTATAATTTAATGCTTGTGCATTCTCTGTATGTATGTAAAACGTTAATAACTTTTTTTTAATTACTAGGAAGTTTGTTATAATTGCTTTAAGCTTTGAAGGAAAAGAACAGTCTCATCCATTCTAAATGAAAGTGCCAATTGGAACATCCTGCATATGTAATATCCCTAATCCCTGACATGCACTTCAAAATAAAGGTCTGCCCTGCAGCTCAGGGATCTGTAGTGGGAAAGTGGTCTCTTTTGGTACACTCTTTATATCTTTCCCCCACTGCATGCTATTGCTTCTTGGTTTGCCTTTCCCTCCCAATGTTTTAATGCCCAGAAGGAAGGGTGCAGTCATTATGGGCACCCTCTAAGTTCTCCCAGGGATGTCTGAGAGTCTCTCCTCCAGGAACTCCCAAACTACCTTGTGCTGAGGGGCAGCACAAGTGGTCGTTGTATCATCTGTATCTCAGCAACATCTAGTCCATGATTGCTTTTAGTTACCTCCAATTTCTACAAACTATCATTCTGAATCCCCACCGTTGGCTTTTTGGAAATGATGCCTCTTTCCTTTTTCATCGCAAACAGACAGGGTCCTTCACAGTGCTTTCCCCTAACTACAATGTCTCCTACTTCACAAACAGCTTCAGAATTTTTATTTTGTATCTAGTCAATTTCAATGGAACAGGGCTATGTTTTTAAAAAAATCATTTTATTGGGGACTCTTACAGCTCTTATAACAATTCATACATCGACTGTATCAAGCACATTTGTACATATGTTGTCATCATCATTTTCAAAACATTTTCTTTCTGCTTGAGCCCTCTTTTTACCACCACCCCCGCCCCCATGACCCCTTAATAAATTATAAATTTGATTATTTTCATATCTTACACTGATTGCTTCCCCATGGTTTCTGTTATTCATCCCCCAGTAGGGGGTGGTTTCCTTATGCGTCAGTTATTGAGATCAGCTCCCCCTTCCTCCCCTCTCCCCACTTTCCTCCTACCCTCCTGGTATCGCTATTCCCATTTCTGTTCCTGCAGGGTTTATCTGACCTGGATTCCTTGTGTCCTGAGCTCTTATCTGTACCAGTGTACATGCTCCTGTCTAGCCCACAGTGAAAGGCAGGACTGGGGTCATCAGAGTGGGGGCTGAGGAAGCTTCAAGGAACACACAATATTGTGTGTTTCATCAGTGCTATACTGTGCCCTGGTTGACTCTTCCCTTCCCTGTAACCCTTCTATGAGGGCATGTCCCATTGTCTACAGATGGGTTTTGGATCTCTGCTCTGACCCCCCTCATTCTCAACAATATGTTTTTATTGTTTGTTTGTTTTGGGTCTTTCAATGCCTGTTACCCTATCCTATTGAAACCTCATGATTGCATAGACTGGTGTGCTTTTTCCATGTGGGCTTGTTGCTTCTCTGCTAGATGGACACTTGTTTAACTTCAAGCCTTTAAGACCCCAGATGCTATATATTTTGACAGAAGGCACCATGAGCTTCACCACATTTGCTTGTGTACCCATCTTGTCTCCAGTGATCGTGCCAGGAGGGTGAGCAGCACAGAATGCCAGGTTGTTAGAACAAAGTGTTCTTGCATTGAGGCAGGGCTTGAGCAGAGACCCAAAGCCCATCCACTACCTCAATGTATTACCATATAAATATATGTACATACACCAATACCTCTTTTTTTGAATTAATTCATTTATATATGTACACACCTATGGTTTTAAGGATGGAGATTCTTAACTGAGATTTAGGGCTTTCTTAGAAATCCTTGATTTTGCATTATCTAGTTGCCTTTTATACATCAAAATCAACTGTGCAAGACTCATTCATAGTTATGTTGTTAGGTCTCAATTCTCTCTTGAAGTATGCAATGTTTAGGACTACTATTGATATTATTATTTCAATCTTATAAATGAGAAAACTGAGGATCTCATTAAGATTTAATATTAAATTCATTTATTCAAGATGGTACTCCAAAATACTCCCATGATACTGCAGCACCCCATACCATGTGTGTGCTTTCTGCTACAAAAACTAGTTTACCTTTGCTATTTTGTCAACTCCAGCACATGGTGACCCATTGGGACCACAATAGATATGTGTTTCACAGGGTTTTTAATGGCTCCCTTTCCCCCCACGGGCAGTAGATCTCTAGACCTGTCTTATGAGCCACCTCTGGGTGGATTCCAGTCACCAACTTTTCAGTTAGCATTACCTGTTTTTACCATCCCTGCTAAGCAACCAAAAATAAATTAGACTGTTTAGCTAACATGAAGTTCTAATTCCCTATTATAACTGTAGTCATGCTCAACTATTCTATTTTGTAATTACGATGTTCGGAGTTTAGTTTTAGACAGGGATATCTACAGGTAAGTAAAATAACTAATCAAATGCTATCCAGAATTTGCATCCAGATTTCTAGACTCATGGGGGATGGGCCATGTACATCTCATCTCTGACAGAAACCAAGACAGGACATTCTTGTCTCACATTTCTCTTTTTTCCCTGTATAGATGTGTTCAAAAGCATAGGGCTTCCTGAACTCTCGACTGAATGTCTGTCTTCCGTGAGTCCCCAAATGGGAACATCGGTGAAGTGTGGCACCATCCTGGAAGCTAGGAGACTGTGCCCTGCCAAAGACGCAAGACGTCCCAAAGCACCGAGTGCTCCAAGTCAGCGAGCGCGCCTTGAGTGCTTCCTGTTGCCACATAAAGCCAGTGCCATCCTGCCTTTCCTTTAGTTTGTGAACTTTAGCTGTTCCGGATATTAATGGAATTAGGGATAAAACTTGTCATGTCTCAAGGCACTCAACATTAGAGATATTCTAGATTCTAAGCTAAGAAGAGTCAGAAAGACGCAAATAATGATTACTATTTTGGGCCCTCCTACAATATGCTAGTTACTGTGGTAGGTTTTCTCATATATATTTTTTCACTTAAACCTCATAAAAAAATAGACCAAGTAGAACTTATTATCTTGATTTTATGATGAGGAAACCAAATCCATAATAGGGATTCTATGCAAATGCCATAATTCAAGGTGGCCTCTCATACATGAACACAAATGCAGCACAACTCTTGGTATATGAAAATGGCCCCTGCACAATGTCCCTCTATTCATTATTCAAACACCAATACCATATGGTTAACATAAATAATATCCATATTGGTTCATATGTATTTGCAAAACTTTGTCTTAAATTCTAACACAAAGTGTTTCAAATTTTATATGGTTGCTTTGAGTATGTATATATATATGTATATATATATATTATATTTAGAGTATTTCTTATTTTACATGGTTGCTGTGAGTCAGAATTAATTGAATGGTAGTGGTTTTGGTTTGACTTTAAAAATTTGATCTGCACTTACCATATTATACAATCAATGAATCGGTCATCTCAAGAAGGGCCGTGCTGCCATGGTCACAACCCACGGTGCAGCCTTTAGAGGGTTCATCCTGTGCCCCGAGATTTTCTGAGGATCCCCAGTGACTGTTGAGCTGCTAACCAAAAGATCAGCAGTTCAAAAGCACCTGTTGCTCCATTGGAGAAAGAAGAGGCTTTCTACTCCTGTGAAAATGTACAGTGTTGGAAATCCACAGGAACAGTTAGAATTTGGCCTATGAAGTTGAATCAACTCAATGGCAGAGAGTTTGGTTTGAAGTACACTTTTCTGTGGGAACCTTGGAGGCATAGAAACAACCAAATATTTTCACTGGGGAAAATGAGAGAGAGAGAGACTAGTGTAGCAAGTAGGAGAGTTTATTTTGTGTTAGGGTGACATTCTACAGTTGTGTTTGTTCCCGTAACTAAATCATATTTCAGGAATCTCAGTTTTCAGTTGTTTGTTTGTTTTTCTCAAGTTAAAAAAAAATTGGTTCCTGAAAAATTATAAAGTGTAGCATTCAATCTTTCTCTGTTCTGTGATAATGTTTCTTAGTAAATAAAGGTATATGTATGTGCTTTGTGTTTAGTTTATATTTAAAAGGTAGCATGAGCTGAAATCATTGAAATCTATCTTACATTTTCATACTATATTAAAACAATTCAGAAATCACCACCCCCCATTTTTAATACTGTTTTAAGAAATGAATTTGGGAAAGAAAATTGCCAACTAACAAAGGCAAAACATGTCCTCAAATATCAGGCTTGGAGAATTTATCATCCAAAGGAAAGAGGAGGTCTTTTTTTGAACATGTTGAATTACTCTGTAATTTAACTTGAAAAATCCAAAGAGAATAAAAAGATTCAACATTTCTTACTATCACTTTTAGTGGAAAACAAAGAGGTCACTGAATGTAATGTACCAGCCAGTTTTATTGGTTGAATTCCAACTTATTTCAGTATCACCATGAAAACTTTTTGAAATAAAGCCAAATAAGTATTCAATAGCTCTGTTTACATAATCAAAATTAAGTGGAAAGATGAGACAATGAATTACATCATTTCTCAAAGGATGTTCAGCAATAATTCAACTTCCCTGGAGTTTAATTTTATTTGTTAACTTGTATGTAGCCCAACACTTTTCAATGGCTAATCAACGATGTTGAGCTGTGGCTCCAAGGAGCTGGGAATCCATAACGAGGTCATCTGTGCCTGCTGCAACTCCAAGACTGTTCCGGGAAAGCCCTTCAATGAGCACCCACTCTGGTGGTGCTCTGGAAGAAGCACTGGGTTCAAAACCACCAGCCGCTCCCCAGGAGAATGATGACACTGCTCTTATCAAGATTTATAGTCTTGGAAACCCTAAGGAGCAGTTCTGCTCTGTGCTATAGGCCATATGGTTGAGATCCAGTTGGTGTCAGTGGCTTGCTATGTTCAACCACTCTATTTGGCCCTGGGATACAATAATTCATGGAGCTCCCATAGGAGAGACAAACAATGAACAAGATAAATAAGGAAGTTCAGTTTCAGGAGAAAAAAGGAAGAAAGGGAAGATTTTTTAAAGTGTGTATGTAAGGAAGGGATGAGTCAACCAGGATGCAGTATGGAACTGATGAAACACACAATATTCCTCTGGTTCCTTGAGGGTTTCTCACTTCCCACTATCATGACCCCAGTCCTGACTTTCACTGGGGGCTACACCGGAGCATGTACACAGGTACAGATAAGCGATAGTGCTCCCAAC